GTTTGCTGGAGATTGCTCTAATTAGCGTTAGACAGCTGGAGTATATTTTGAGGTTAGGTATATCAAGATCTAGCTCCGCTAAGAGGCCTGATTGTATCACTAAAGCCTCAGCCATTAAAAGTGTGATGATGCAATCAGCTGTTTTGGAACCTTCACGGTTCTGTATGTTCGAGGATTCTGTGAATATCCATGAAGACCCCGCTTTCCTCGAAGTCAAATACAGAAGACGTCTGTGAAACATGTAGTTATCGGACCTCAAGGTTCCTCTGTGTTTAGATCATTTATCTGAGGCAATCAATTTTTCTTTGTAGCCTATGATGATTTTGCTAGAATCCATTTCTGTGCTAGATTTACTCCTTTTAACACCACCTTCAAATTGATTAGATTTTTGTCTTGAAGGTCAGTATGTTTCTTGCCATCCAAATCGACCAACACAAATAGGTTTTGGTAAACCAAGTTTTCATATGATACATGATATACAACTGTAAAATAAGCAGGTTTTCGTTAAACCAATTTTTTTCATATGATTACTTTTGATAATAATTCTTATGTTGAGCATTTTCTTCTGGTATGATGTTCACTTATGATGAAAATAAAAGGCTAAAATTATATTTTGTAATTAGTTGTCGAGATAATTGTGTATTTTATATATTGAATAGTTAAGAATAATGGTTTTGTTTATAATCTTGCAGTCAAACATCATTTAGTTGTTTCAGATCACTTTTATGTATTTACTTTCTGTTATTTTTTTATTCTAAAATGTAATATTAATTAGATAAACAGATAAAATTAATATAAATATATATTGTAAAAAAGTGTTTGGTAATATAAAACAAACGAATCGGGTGTCGACAACAAGGTGTGATAAGATCCTATTTGAGAATTTCAAAAGATATTAGTGGATTGAAATGCAACTTTTTTATATTCTTCAAAAATAGATTATAATATATGACTAATGTTGGTATGTCGGGTGGTTATCAAAAGAACGAAAAAAAATTCAAAAAAAAAATCCATTATCCTTGCCTTTCCAACCTATATTATGTCTGGTTTCTTGTTACCATTAGATATCTGTGAAAGGTTCGTGAGTGCCATTGCATGATTTTAGTGGAGCTCAAATCCCCCTAAATGAAAAATACATTGGGACAAATGAAAATATCTTTGTTGCTGTAAACAGGAAGATGCTTTTGGTTGATGTATTATGATTTTTAATTTATCATTTGTTAGCAAACCAGTTGTGGCGTCTGGTACAGTTTTCATAATCTCTTGTTGTGTGAATAGCATTATAGACAGAGTTTTCCTTTGCGTTCAGTTATTATTGATAGCTCTTTTTATGTTTGGAAAAGTTTATCGGCAGTTAAGATATTTTGTGACTTCAGATATCCGACAAAAAATTGCATTTTGGATTTGAAATAAGAGCATGGGAGGATTCATGGATTCTAATGATAAATGAGAGACCAGCTCGACCTAGTGTCCCAATGTTTATCCAAGAATGACAGTGAGTGATTCTATTTATGATCAGTCTAAAATGTGAATGTGGAGATGTTGGAGAGCCAAGTTGTGCCAAAGGATATAATGTTTATTTGGATGTTAACTAGCCAATCCACCTGAAGCAATAAATTTTATTGGAGTTACCAAAAGAGTGGTCAGTATACAATAAAAACAAGTTATTGTGTGGCAACGAATATTCTAAACTGCAAATCTGAAACTTTAGTTATTAAGCATAGCATCACAAAGCTTCAAGCCTTTTCTTGAAAATAAGTGATCCTCAGAAGATAATCTTATATGGAAGATGTAACAAGACATTTTGCGGTAACACGGACCCTGACCCTGCATTATATGCAAAGTGATAACCATCATCTTCAATGTAAGCAGATGAATATGTTAATCGTGCTATTTTTGAATGTCTTTCTACTTTACAGGTCTGGACAATCATCTTCTACACCTTCTTGTCCATCAAGTTTCCCATTTTTAATGTTTATACAAACATAAATTATATATTCTGAAGAAACAATGTTATTGAAGATTTGGAGTTGAATATAGATTATTATCAATGAATAATATGGTATCTTGGGAAAATTCGTAAAGACAAACTATATAGGAGAATCACGAAAGATATTCTAGAGCTATTAAAGCATGCTTTGAAGCGAATGCAAAAGAAACTGACGATAGGTAACCATTACATCATCCACTGACATCTCAAGCCTTAAGTTGTAGAACATATGTTTAGCTTAGACTCATGAGACACAATGCAGTGAATATGAGAGGGTAGGAAAAAAAAGTCTTTTAGGACAAATATGAGTTATGCAAGTATGATTCAATACACAACCTATCAACATTTTGAAACATATGGCAAAGATCTAATTTCAGTGACCCAGCAACATGGCTAAACTTTTCAAAAGAACTAAAAGAGTTAGCTATCCTAAAAAAAATATTTTTAGACTTCAAGATTATCTACCATCCTCATCATCTTTCTTTGTATCTATACATGATCTAAAAAGTTAACGAGCATTTCGTACATAAATAAAGATGAAAAGAGACAACGAATTCATATCAGTTATTTGATATATCATAACCAATTGTTATTAACAGTTGTACAAATCAGTGATCACTAAGCTATCAACAACATCTAAATTAATATATTTCTTTTTAGAAACATGGTTTATTAGCCGGAAAAACAGTCCTTGCATATCTAACATATCGCGATATGCTCAGTTCATACAAGGTTTATATAAACGTGTTAAAACATACGTGTACTTTCGAAAAATTCTACAAACAGCTAATTTTTTTTACTTTTTTTTGGCGGAATCATACCTCAGTCACCACATCAACTGCTGACGTTGATGCTATGTTAGTTAATTTTACTGACGAGTACGCCACATGTACAATATTTTAAAAAAATAAAATAAAAGTTGTTTTACAAAAATATTTTTTTTGAAAAATGTAAACGTTTATAACGTTTTGGTACCTTATAAATTTTTATTATTTAGTAAAATTACAAAACTTAATTAAAATAAATTTTAATTTTATCTAAGAGATATATTAATTATAATTAATGTCTCAATCATATCACAATACCATTGTTATAAGAGTTATATATGTGTTGTAATTAATCAAATTCAATGTTAAAGTTGCAGTCGTGTTACTCTCGATTAATCTTGGTTATGTTGTTTACATTTAAAGAGTTTAGATTAACATATTATAAATTCGTAATCACTTAACATAAAATTCTTCGCATGATTACATAACCGATCTAAAAAATTATATAAAAACAAATAACTAAGATTAACGTAAGAGTAATTAACATGACTGAAACATTAAAATGAATATAATTTTATGTAAGATTAATTTTTTATTATTTAATATTTTTTGTTAATTTACTAAATAATAAAATTTATAAGCTTTCAAAAAAGTATAAACGTTTATATTTTCTAAACAAATATTTTTATAAAATCTTTATTTTATTTTATTTTGTAAAAACATATTGTACATGTGTTATATTCGTCACCAAAATTAGTTTATGTAGTATCTACGTCAATACATTTTAGATTATGTGGCAGTCGATATAACGATTAAAGTATAATTTGCCTAAAAAGTAAATATAGATATGTTATTTAAATTTATTAAAAATACAAATATGTTTCTACATAACTATATAAATTGGGTATGAATTCAACATATTTGCTGGTGCACCCTAAATGGACCCCATAATTAGCATATTACCTATGATGTGACCATTGCAAAATAATGACCAGAATGCCCTTCGTTTCTCTCTCTGCCTATACTCGTAGGCATGTCAGCTTCTATGTGTAGCTCAGCTACTCTACAATCACTCCCACCTGTATCAGCCACTCTACACCCACTTATATCAACTGATACATTCTCTTCTCTTTTATTATATTTTTGTTTCTAATTTTATGAAGATATCATGTTATTGCACTATATTTTCTGTGTAAAAAATTATTGTTGCGAAGAAAATCTATTACTATTCTATTACTATTCCTATGAATCTAAATTATTTTAATTACACCACATCCTGAAAAAATCAGCATTGAGATATTTTTTAAAATCGCCAAGATATTAACAATGGTGTTAGTTGTTAACTAATAATGTAGATATTAATATATGTGTTAACTGTTAACAAATATATGTATCAGATGTATTAGCAGATGCAGTAACTGTTAATAAATTTTGTAGATGTTAACAGATGTTTTAGCTGGTAACAAATACATGTACTATAAGTGTTAACATATGTGTGAGTTGTTAACAAATTTGTAGATGTCAATACATGCGTTAGGTATTATATGTTAACAAATAAATATTATCGAAGTTTTAATTTTGTCTCTCGAACTGAGTAAATTTATCAGGTAACAAAACATGTATAAGTTAACAAATGAGTTAATCGCTAACAATTAATCTAACACTAATATCAAATTTATAACAAATTATAGATTTTAGAGATGTTGAAATCTTGTAATGTAATTTATGTTTTCAATTATATCAAATGTTAAATCATTTTATCATTATAATGTTTTATATTATATTTTAAAAAATATTATTATTTGATAATATTTTTAGTATTAAAAAAAAATCTAGCAAACATATGAACAATATGTGGACATTCTCTCTCCTGACACTTCTCTGTGACCAGCAAAAAGTATGTCAGTTAAAGAAGAGTATTTTAGACATTTCTAGACGTAATTGTATGGTTTAGGTCACTACTGTTCGTCAATGGGCAAACCGTAAATTTAAACTTTGATTTTTGGTATTACACTAGATGAACATGTTTTCCTTTTTTATTAGTTGGTGGGAAAGTATGTATATGATTATACATTAATAACGAAAAGAGAGCAAATAAAAAATTGTAAAGGAAGTACATTTGATGATATAAAGTAACCATGGTTAAATCCAAGAACCTGAAAGGCTGAGATACAAGAAATAGAATTGACTAACCATAGTTAAGGCTCCTCTGGTTAGAGATTTTGGAAGCTCTTTGATGTGCTTTTGCTATATAAAAAAAAACAACAATGGAAGAGGCTCTCATACCAAACTCATCTCCCACTTTGCAGATTCCCACAAAACATCACACTACGTTTCACCCAGACGAAACACAGACGAGGGTATTAAGAAAAGTTCAACCCTTTCAATCGGTGATCATCGCCTTTCATACTTGGCTCAAGGTTTGTGGATTTTCGATTTTCCCCAAATTTTTTAAATTGATTTTTATTTGTTCTCTTGTCAATTTGCCAAAAAAGGGTTTGATGGAAAAAGAATCTTGATTCTTGTTTACCTTGGTTTCTTGATAAGTTCTTGATTCTCGTGCTTTGATTAGAGTAAATTGTTCTTATTTACTCTGTCAAATCTTGAATCCATTAGTGAAGTTTTCATCCAAGTTTCTTTCTTTAGAGGCAAATATTATATGACTCATTGACATGAGCTTTAATTATATTAGAATCATCGTCGATATTATTCAAGAATTACTCTGGCAAATCATTCTATTTTCGGATCATTTGAAAAGTTTGATATATAATTTTTTTTAATTTAAAATTTTGATGTATAAATTATGGTACGATTAGCTGTGTAGGGTTGAACAAATTTGGTTTCAAGTTTCATCTGAGGCCAAACGTGAATATGTATATAAAAAAAAACATTTCCTCAATGTTTGAGTTCGGTTTAAAGAAAGTCTGTTGTTTATTTAGTGAGCCTTCTTCTATTGTCTACTAATAGCCCACGATGTTGTTGTTTTTTCCAGATCACATCCCTTTGAGAAAGACAAAGATCTAAAGAGAATTACATATTGTTTGAAACATCTAAAGAGTTGAGAGATGGGTCTATCAAGCCTTCCTGGTCCATCAGAAGGAATGCTATGCATTATATTAGTTAACACTGCATTATCAATCTCCATGTTCAAAGGCATTGTCAGATCAGTGCTTCACCTAGTAGGAATCAATCTCTCTCCCTCTTCAGCAGCTCCAGCTACATCTTCAGAGATTCCAACTTCAGAGACTTACGATTTCCGGGTCTGCCAGCCTGAGAGTTTCCTTGAGGAGTTCAGGAACAGGACTCCAACACTCAAGTTCGAGAGCTTGTGCAAGAAACAGGAGGACAGCGAGTGTTCTGTATGCCTGTCGAAATTCGAAGAGGATTCAGAGGTCAACAAGCTCAACTGTGGACACTTGTTTCACAAAACATGCTTGGAGAAATGGATAGACTACTGGAACATCACTTGCCCACTGTGTAGGACTCCTCTTGTTGCAGTGGCAGGTGAAGACCAGCAGGTTCCTTCTTATGTTTGGTGACTACTTTTCTCTGTATAGAGGTCTTTTTATTTGGGTTTGGGTGTGTTTGTTGGTGTGTACAGCTACTACAACTACTCTTACTATGGAATTAGGTTGCGTCACGGTTGATTCTTCAGCAGAATTAGACCGGGGATGGGGTTATCTGATGTACATATCTTGTGAGTTATATATGTATACCCATGTGTAATGGAAGCTCTTGTTTGAACATATTCCTGTTGAATCTATGTGAGTGTGTGTATTAACAAGGAGTAAGAGCTCAGGCTTACAAAAGGTTAGATGGATAACAGGAATAAGGAAGCATGTGTATACTTTTGGATTTTAGGTGTTACCTGCAGTTGACAGTTGGATGTAAACTGAGATGATATTTGACCAATAACTCTATTTAAATGGCTTGTCTTACAAATGTGGAAAGATAAGGACATTACTACGTTATATGGTAACAAATAAAGTAAACACATCACTCCAAAATCTAGAGTAGATTCAATGTAAGATGGGGATAAGAGTGGCCTACACCATTTTTACCTATGTACAACTGTGCACACAGGTGTCAACCAGTTATTAACTTTTAAAGATATCACACAAAGTGTTGCGCCATGACTGAATACTGATGCATAAGGTCTCCCCACTGTTGCACAAGAGAATTGGGGAACACACACAGTTTCATTATCCAAAGTTTAATGCACAAACTTGAAAGTTACCAACACTGTTTCATGAAGCTGCCATAAACTTAATCTACTTACCGTGTCAAACTCGCCATATCGAGATTCAGGATTACTTTTCTCAAGCTTTGCAATCAACAAAGACGCTAGAATTAGGCGTTAAACGATCACCTGATGGAGAATCAAAGTTACCTTTGACCAATTGTAATTCCTTAGCAATTATGTAAGACTAGACTTGTTTTCTACATTCTTAGAGCAAAATGTGATCCTTTACAGTGGTCTAAAACAAAAAAAGTTCCATAGAATGATAGAAAGTTACAGAGATCTAGCCGACATGGCTTGACACAAAATTATTCATCAACATAGAAAAAATACTTAATATGCTATGGGACACAAACTCGCCTGTGTAAATCTCCAACAACGTACTGGTACCAACATACTGTTACGGTGACTCTTTCTTTGTAGGAACACATTAAAATACTATAAGTCTAATGAATATTCACCCTCAAAGATCATTACATTAGAAGTCCAAGAAGAATTCCATAACGTAACTTGGGAGGAACAATGATTCTCTAAATTGTGGAATTTTCAACCAAAACCAGTTTTTTTATTAAAGCATTTAATTCTTTGACAAAGTTCCTACATATAGAAAGACAAAAAGATAATGAAGAAAAAATAAATTTTGTGTCATATGCCAGAATATGTTTACAAACAAAATCATGTAATCATGTTTTTGACCATACATGTATACTTACATGGTTAAAAACAAATCATGAATATTCTATTTGCCGTTACAAGTTACTTTTTTAAATTATTAGATGATTACATTTGAATGTGTTAGCTTGTTAAAAATTAATTCACATGTATTAATTGTCTTTTATAACTAAAAATTCAAAAAGTCGACTATAATATAAAAGGGAAAATCGTATAAAATTTTTTTAATGTGGCAGTCACTTACACTGTAAACTTTAAGTGTATTTCACAAGCAAATTAAACCTCCAAAATGATACTTGTATCAAAAGAAACCTTCAATCTCGCTTACTTGTACATCAAGTCAAAACAGTAACCTGTACTGTTCAAAATCCATGACGTATCGGTTTTATTTTTTTTTAAAATTATTTTATCAGTAAAATCAATATAAAATACAAAAAATTCATAAAAAATGAAAAACAAATCCTAAAAGTCACTAAAATTCATAAAAAATGAAAAAACTCACCAATTTTTTTTAAAAAAATTATTTTCTAAATAAAACAAATATATAAATACAGAAAAATAAAATTCATAAAAAAATTCAAAAAATAATAAAACTCAATAAAAATTTCAAAAAATAATAAAACTCAATAAAAAATTCCAAAAAATCAAAAAAATTAAAAAACACAAAAAATAAATTATTTTATTAACAAAATAAATATAAAAATATAAGAATTCATAAGAAATCATAAAAAGCCATTCAAATTCACAAAACGCAAAATATTCAAAAATATATAAATTATTTTATTAATAAGATAAATATATAATATAAAAAATTCAAAACAAATCATAATATTAAATTTCTCTAATATCAATTAGAGTAATCATAACTTAGAGACGGACTGCTATTTGGATTTTTTTATATGTTATGTTATGTGTGTGTGTTGGTAGGATTTGGGAAAGTTCAAGATTGTTAAAAGGAAGAATAAACACTAATGATAGCTTGAGGGTGGCCAGTTTATAGGACTCAATGCACACTATTCCATCGTCGCTTTTATAAAACCATATATAATTTTATTCTAATTTTTTTTGAATTTTTATCATTTTTAATGATTTTTAATACTTTCTGTATTGATAAAATAATTTAAATATTTTGTGGATTTTTGAGTTTGTGAATTTTAATGACTATTTATGATTTTTGAATTTTGTTTTGAATTTTTCTGTTTTTGTATTTTCTATTTCTTTTATTAATAAAATAATTTAATTTTTGGTGATTTTTTTTATATTCTGGGAATTTTTTTGGTGAATTTTATGATTGGCTTCGAATTTTTTATAAGTTTCTATTTTATTTATTTTTATATTTTTATTAATAAAATATTATAAAAATTGGTGAGTTTTTTTTATTTTTGTGAATTTTAGTTGACTTTTATGATTTGTTTTATTTTTTTATTTTTAAAACAAAATTCTGTATTTTTACTAATAAAATAATTAAAAGAATAAGAAAAAACCGACACGTCATCGATTTTGAACAGTACCGGTCACCGTTTTGACTTGATGTACAAATAAGTCAGATTGAAGGTTTTTGTTGATACAAATGTCACTTTGGAAGTTTAAAGTGCTTGTGAAATACTCTCAAGGTTTAAAGTGTAAGTGACTGCAACCTTGAGAATTTTTTATGTGATATTCCCTAATATAAAATATATGTTTTTGCAAACATATTGAGGGCTACTAAAACTCCAGAGTCGGCCCTGGACTTCAGTATTCTCAAACCACCAGCTTTAGATTCACTTGGTTTTCAAAATTCAAACCTAACAACATCAAAAACAGAACAAAAAAAATAGAACCAAAGTCAAATCATAGTCCCACTTGATATATTGTCTAAACCTAAACAAATTAAACTGAAGTCAAACAACTGAAAAATCAGTGAAATGGATATAATAATATGTTGGTATGTCTTACTCTTTCTATTTTATAATAAATGTCATTTTAAGTTTCTGTATACAGATTAAGGAAGCATTTAATTTTGCATATTTTCTATATAAAAATATCATTATCCATACACTTAACCATATTTCAACCAATAGAAAATTAAACTGTATAATAAATTTAATAATTTGTTTTGGAAATCGACATTTATTTTGCAATGAAATTTTTTTCTAAAAAGACATGAAACGGAAGGAGTAACTTTTTTTTCTTTGTTGACAAAATTAAGTCTTCACATTAAAGTCACGTGTTTCAGTTCATCAACGTCTTTTCATAGTGAAGAGAGTAACAAACAAATAACCAATCAAAATTGCACATGATGAAGTTGTTCTACTATAAATGATTTGTTTGTTTCTCTTTTGGTATTTCTTTTTCCTTACTTCTATAACACGTTCATGTTTTGGTACTAGTATAGGAAATCATAATTTTTCCTTTATATTTTATATTTTTTATTAGGAAATGAAAGCTTGCAATTTTTTTTGCTAAATGGTAAATATCATTACGAAAATGAACGTTTGAGGTTACAAATTGTTCAACCTCTATGATTGATTACACGGCAAAAAAGTTTTAAAAGCATGTAATCAAATGACAATCTACGACACTGAAACTGTTCTGATTGAAAGCGAACATGATAGCAGAGATCAATACAAACTTAAAGAGTCGGGTGAAAGGTGGAAACGAGGTGGCAAGAATGGTGAGACCTAAAGAACAAAGCTTGATGGCAAATCAACGCTAGCAAGAAGTGGTTTCAACCAATTTCCTGCACAATTACCTTCCTAAGAGAAGCAGAGACAGGCCCGCTCAAGGACCGCCCTCAGAGTCCGGGCTGGGCAAGATCTGAACCTAATTCCGGCAAAGATGGGACAACAGAAACCAAGGCTCAACTCACCCAACCGCACTCGTCCTCTAAGGCGGTTAAGGGTAAAGGTGCATCATCACCACCTCCCGGATCTTACTCCCTCCTCTAGCGGCTGGCTGAAGAACAAGGGGAACTCGAGGAAGCATATAATAGTTTGGTAAGGAACAATGTAGAAGACCAAAACTTGGAGATCACTGAGGCATTACCAGAAGCAACCCCGTAAAGACTCCCGGCATCCCAAAGATTGGGCCCAATCAACGAGTACAAATCAGCCTTTGATTGATTGGGACCGCTAATCTCCCCACTAGAAAGAGTGGGCTTACCTCAATCTGAGCAGTCTGCTCCAAAAAGAAAGGCGGGTAGAACTCCTTTAAGACATACTACCCCCCCCCCCTCCCCCTTTCCCTTGCAATGATAAATGCAGAACTCCACAGAAGGAAAGCTTCGAAAGCTGTCAGAAGTTCACACATCATCCCTGCAATGAGGAGAACAGTTCCAAGACCATCCCTCGTACTGAGGAGAACACTGCCAGAACAAAAATAAAGAGGACAAATCAGAGGAAAGCTGTCTTTACATCTGCAGAACCTTCGCGTATTGGACCCCCAAATGCAGGAACAAACAGAAGAACCCAAGGGAAGGATTTTCAAAGTTTGTCCTCTCCTCTTCCTTAAAGATTGTAGCTTGGAACTGCCAAGGCTGGGGAACCCTTGGACAGTTCAAAGACTCCGAGCGATTTCCAAAAAAATACGATCCATATATCATATTTCTCTCAGAAACAAAAAATCCCCATAGTGTGGTAGCCAAGAAACTTGAAGTGCTAGGCTTTACTAACCTAAAAATGATCCTACCACATGGAGTTGTAGGAGGAGGTGGTCTGGCGATTTTGTGGAAGGACTGGCGTAAACTAGATATCATCTCCTCCTGTAATAACTATTTTGACACACTAATCATTTATGAAGGGAATGTTTCATACGCGACCTTTATTTATGGCAACACGGACAAAAGAAAAAGGAAGCAAACATGGGACTATCTCACCTCCTTAGCGCTCATTAGAGATGCAGCCTGGCTAGTCACATGTGATTTCAACGATATCACAAGGAACCATGAAAAGCAAGGGGGACCGGAAAGATCAGAAGCATCCTTCTCCGACTTTAGGAC